GGGGGGGGGGGGGGTTGTTAAAAACAGCCAGCTGGGCTCCACCCTCTCTAGGACTTACGATAGGGCAGCTCTGAGAGAATGCATTTCCAACAAGCTCCCAGGTGATGCTGCTGCTGGTCCAGAGACCATCCAGGAGAGCCACAGCTTTCAGTGCTTTTATCACTTTTCCCCACTTGGGCTGTAACCTTGATCACAGGCCTGCTATGTCACTGGGTAAGGAGCACCTGGGCACAAAGTAGTCACACAGCAGGGTCCCAGTAAATGAGAACTGTTAAGGCTTGGTCTTTTTGAGCCCGTTGTAAAATTCCAACTTAGTTTCTCAGTCACCCTTCCAAATGCTCAGCAAACCGCACCCTGCTTTGCCAGCTGTTATATGTGAGGGCTGTCTGACTCGGGCGCTGAAGGGAGCTGGCCTGGTTTGGGTGGAGAAGGGGCCTGCTCTGCCCTGGTACCCTTTTGCAGCCAACAGTGGCAGCTTCCTCCCACTTCCCCAGGCCCAGCCTCATCGCCCACATCCCCTCCTCAGAGGTCTGAGTTCTAGCCGTTCTCCCAGCTTTTCAGTTTTAACAGCCACCCCATCCCCCACCATGGCAGCTATTTCCTGCAGTTGCTACCTCTTTCTGCTTCTGCAGCCACCTAGAAAGCATGTCTTTATGTTAAATGCTCTACATTAAAATAGCCAGGTGGTTTCTGCTGGGTGGACCCTGCCTGACACAGCCCTTGCACTGACTGCCATGGGAAACAGCTGGGGCAGCTGATCCCAGAGGTCCAGACCGGGTCTAGGTAGGGCCTGGAACGTGCATGTCACAGTAGATGTTGAAAACAAAAACAAAACACAAGTAAAAACCTGGCTCTAAGGTCTGTTCACAGAAGCTTCAGCGTCTGAGTCCTGCAGCATTGACTTCCCTGGTCAGAGAAGGCAGCAGCCATTGTCAACTTGGCACCAAACATGGGGCAAGGCTAGAGCACAGCTGCTTGCTCAGCCAAGGCTACCAGAGAACCAGACCTGATCGACTGCTCCCCACTGGGCACATTTTCTGGGTCCATGCTCCAGCCAGGATGGGAAACAAAATGTCAAGGGTGGGCCTTGAGGTTCTAAGGCCTCTCCTCTCACCACTCACAAGAACCACACTCAGAGCAGGTTCTGTATAAATTAGCTCCTCTCTCACAAACACCCCCAGACAAGGACAGTGTCATCACCTTCACTTACACTAGACAAAGGAGAGGCCTCAAGACCTGTGGTGATACTCCCTAGGCAGCAGGCGCGGCTCTCACTCAGACACTCCTGTCTGTGACCTAACACTTTCCCCACACACAGAATTAGGAAACAGAAGATTTAACTACTCTTTAAATCTCTCCCCCTTCGACCTCTGAGCAGTTAGCTACCACAACTGGTGTGGACACTAGAGCATCCCCCCCCCGCATCTGTGCAAGCAAAAAGCCCAGGGGAGCATAACCCAGAAACAGAGGGCCTTGAGACAGCCTAATGGGTCCTGGTCAACATGACTGAATCTTGCAACACCAGCACTGTGTGTGTTCCTTTTTTCTGCACCTTTTTCTGTCATTTCAGCCAGAAGTTAGGGACTGCAAGTTTCCAGGAACAAATGTAAGTGAATAAAGTGTTGCTACAAGACTAAGATGGTGCTTAAAGGCAGTTCAGATCACTGACTGTGGTGTGGGTTCAGGTCACATTGCCCACACTGCCCTAGCTGCTCAGGAGAAACCTGGCCTGTTTCTGTTCCCTAAAGGTGAGTGCAACAAACCTGGGCTTTCCCCTGGGAGCAGGAGCACTGGGAGATAACTGATGTACTTATCATATTACACAATTTCTAAAGATTTATGTTTTCCAACCACATGTACTTCCTCTGTAATTATTTAAAAGACCAGTAATAAAATATCTGGTAGGAGAAACAATAAAGACAGCATTTACAAAGAAAAAAGTCACACCTCCCATGCTCCTGGATTTTAGTGGCAAATTTCACAGGTTTTCCTGGTTCCTAGGTAACTTAGGGAGAGGTGAGGAGACTTCTGGGGCTTCAACAACGGCTGTTAAAAACTCTCAGAGCTTGTAGGAGCTCAAATGGGCATGAGCCCTCCCCAGTCACATAGCACCGACACAAAACTAAAACAATTCCTTCATGGAAACAAAATACTGAGGAAAGTCAATTGCAAAACATCTGAAATTATCTCAGGGTTGTCATTCTCAGTCCAGGGAGAGTAGACAGGCACCCACCCCCACACGCCTTGGGGAACCTACTGCTGCTGTTCTCCAGGACCCGAGCCCCACACTTAATTCTTTCAAAAGGGAATGAAGAGGCAAACCATTCCTTACGCTGTATCTCTGACATCTCTTGTAATTCGATAATTCCAATCTCGGAAAACTTCATTTTCTTTGTCAAACTCCCGTTCGTCTTCACCAATAGTCACAGTAAACCTTTTCTCTTCAAAATCAGGCTCCTGTTCTTTTCGAATGGTTGCTTTTTTTAAAACCTACCGTTGTGAGAAGAAGCCAACACCAGTTACTGTTAGGGAAAACAAAGGGAAGCCTGTCTTGATTTGACCCGCGGAGGCTTGGCCAGCGCGGCTTGAGCTACACAGCTGTGTGCTCAGTGGGCAAGGTGTGCCTGAGCTCTATGACTGGGCGGACACAGGATCCATGTAGCTTTTTGTGGAACTTGAGTGCCCTGTCCCTACACACAGCTGCTTCTGGCAGGGGAGGCCCCACTAAGCAGTACCATGGAGCTTACTCATATTTTGGGAAGGGTGATGAAGGTGGCCGCTTCCTAAAAATAGTCCTGGCACTGAACCAGGGAGCCCCAGATACTCACTAAGTGAGGACCAAATGTGGAGTGGACAGTAAGTCTGCTCATGGCAGAAAAGGCACAAGGAGCCATTCAAGTCTTAGAGGAAAGGAGGTGTGTGAAGGATGTGCTAAGGGAGGGAGAATGGTTTTGTTTTAGTCTGTCATTTCACTGAACAAAAACCAACACGGGGGCTCAGAAAGCAGCCTGGACATCTAGTACCGAAGTGTGGCTTGGAGTAGAGGAGTGGGAAGAGGGGAGGCCTATGTTCGCATGACAGCTCTCTAGGGAGAGAATGGCTTCTCCAGAAGGCTGGCCACTTGGGGGTAGCAGTGTGTGCTGACTCTGGGGAGTAGCTCTGAGTGACTGGGGGCTGTAGCACCGGGTGGGTGTAGTCCAATGCTGCCAAGCTGCATGAAGACAGGAGCCCATGTTCTAGGCTAGGACTCCCTGGCCTTCTGGGCTTGGTCATGAACTAGCATGCCTCAGACAGAGAGTGAGAAATCACTTCCATTCTCTAGCTCTTCAAAGAAACCACAAAAATATACCCCTCACTTTAGAGGCTTTACTGAGGATCTCTGTTGCTGTTAATCCTCACCAGAGAATATTTTCTCCATTGCTCTTTAGGGAGAGTGGAAGGGAGGCAGGGAGAGGAGAGAGAGAAATGGTGGGGAGTGAACCCGCAACCCAGGTACATGCCCCTAACTGGGAAGTGAACCCTCGAACCTTTGGTTCGAGAGCCGACACACCAATCACTGAGCCACACCAACCAGGGCTAGAGGCTTTACTGAGTTTTTGATCACTGTCTCTTGATCAAGGAAATATTAGTTTTGTGTAAGAACCGCCATTAGTATTTTTCTTCTCAGGTTTTTTGCTGAAATCTGTTACCTCCTTCGCATGCCGAAGTCCTCGTTCCCAGGCACTCTCTGTGGGGGGTTCTGGAGGTGGTGGAGGCAAAATTTCATCAACTACTGGCCCACCCTATTAAAAAATGAGAAGGAAAAAGTTGAGAAAGCAAGCAAAATTTAAAATCTATGAAGAAATGAGAGCAAAAACACCTGGAAGCATCTGGAAAGTAGCTCTGTGACTATGACATTACAGAAATGTCTTTTACACAAGTTATACTGATGTACTTTAAGCTGGAGAGTCACAAACAGCTTAGATGTCTGATTTGCTAGCAATTAAAAAAAGGTGTTCACGCACCCAAGGGTTGGCAGGCATCAGTGGGTGAGGTCCAAGAGGCGGGGCACCGTTAGGCGGGAAAGGTTCGGCTTTGGTGATTAGGGAGTAGTTGCCTTTGTCGTTGACTCCAGGGTGTATAAACCTACAATTCATTCCCCAGGTACAGTTCCCTAAGGAAACAAAAGTTAGGTCAGAATGTGTCTACAAGAGCCCAGATTCATGAGGCCAGCTTCCTGTCTACTTTGCTTGGGCTTTCCTGAGGGCATGTGACATGCCAGACAGTATGCTGAGGACACTCATAGGTTACTGGTGTTCCCCTCCACCCTGTAAGGTACGTGAGCCTGAATACGGACAGGCCAAAGCCAATCAGCTATAATGAAAGAGTGTGTGGGCTCACTCCTCACACCTGCGCCCCCCACCTCTACTTGCATACACACTCCGGTCCTTGGCAGGCAGCCTAAACAGCTGCAGGCCAGACCCTGAGCTAAGGAGTAAAGCAGTACTTCCTAAAGGGCTCCTGAAGAGGGCTGAACATGTGTTAGAGGAAAGAGCCCCTGTTCCAAGGTCACCATATGAATAATTTTCCCCTCAAAACAGAAAAGTCAAGAGCTTCCCAGATAGAGGTGGCCCCTGCTCTGTGGGTTTACTGCTCAGACACACCACGGCCCCAGTGAGAGTCACAGGTGCACACAGAGGACCATGATTAGGCTCAAAGCACACTCATACTGAAATAGAAACTGAGAAGCATAAGACGAACAGAATTCTGCAAGCTTGTCCCATGGTGATCTTTACCAGCTCTGTAAATTTCCATTTCTCCTATCAAAAGCCTCACAAACCATTTCAGTATATTTCTGGTACTTAAAACACATAAACAATGATAATAAATTAGGTGTTCATACTTCACCCAAAAAAAAAAAAAAAAAAAAATT